AACCAGACCTGATGGCTATATATATATATATTTTTTTTTTCCTCGTCTATACCTGCTATATTGTCTGTATTTTGGCCCATTACAACTTTGACCAAAAGAAAAAATAGTTAAGTTGCTTCTTGTTAACTACTCTCCAATGCATGGGAGAAAAGTTGCCACTTCTAAAAAAGCCTTTAAAGGGGTCATATGATGTTGCTAAAAAGAACATTATTTTGTGTATTTGGTGTAATAAAATGTTTATGCAGTTTAAGGTTAAAAAAACACATTATTTTCCACATACTGTACATTATTGTTTCTCCTCTATGCCCCGCCTTTCTGAAACGAGTCGATTTTTACAAAGCTCATCAGTCTGAAAAGCAAGGTGTGCTGTGATTGGCCAGCTATCCAGTGCGTTATGATTGGCCGAATACCTCAAGCGTGTGACGGAAATGTTACGCCCCTTACCATACTGTGATGATGCCCTGTCAGGCCAGAGCAATGATTCAAAAACATAAAAACCCATTATAAACGAGGCATTCGTTGCATCCAGTGGGGACATAATTATGGATTATAATAACTTATACTGTCTTTTTACGCGGTAACACTCCAAAGAGAAAGGAAAAATTGAAATTGCATCATATGACCCCTTTAAACTATGAGATGAGCTTGGAAAGCAAGTGGAATTTTTCTTGGGTACACTATTTGCATGAAGCACATCTCAGACGGCCTACATCGGTGCATACTCATGCACTCACTCAGTGTGGGAAAGTCTAATATATCATCTTAACAAGGCAGCTTCCTGTCCCTGTGAAGAGAGATGCTCATTGCCTGAGCCAGTGACCCTGTGAGCACGCTATAAATATTTATGTCAAAGCAATCCTCTCACTCCAAAAATATTCTTCCTTTGGAAATATGGACCACTTTGTCTCATCAACAGCTTCTTTGCCATCTCAGATATGTGTGCAATTTTCCAAATAAAGGGATAGTTTACTTACTTTCTTTAGAGTACAAAAAGTGGAAATTGTGGGAAAAGTGCAGTTTCTGTGTGGTTTTGTCCATACAGTGGAAGTCAATGAGGGCCAAGGTTGTTTTGGACCCCATTGACTTTCATTGTATGGACAAAAACGTTTTTCTTTTGTGGGTTCATGAATATTGCATTAGAAAGTGCTAATGATGAAAAGTTCTGACGTCTGTGTTTTTGTCATTCTTTGCATAGCAAGCCTTTTTTGCCTTGTACGTAGAATCCTCTGCTGAGGAGTGCTGACACTGGGGTTTTGCACTTTCACCCTTAGGTTGAGGGGTTAAAGTGAATGGGAAGTTCTTTCACACACTAAATACACATTTTGCAGTGTGAACACATTCTTACTGTAAAAGCTTACACTTATGGATCACTTCCGACACTTAACAACTTGTTCATAGGAATGTATGTAGTTTTCTGAAGTAATGAATCTTAATTTTATTCAGTTTTTAATGTTTTTGAAAGAAGTCTGATAGTGTGTCACCAAAATATATAAAATATATTTTTTTCATTCAAAAATATTGCTCCGAAGGTATTCTAGTGAACTGTGCAATAAATTTTATATTGATAAAATGCTACAAATCTAGAAATTATCATTACGTATGCATCAGCACAGTATGGCATATCAGTTTTCATCCTGTATGTGCAGAGAGAGAGAGACATGAAGCAGAGAGACAGCTGCTTCTTGAGAGCTGAGGCCAGCTGTCCCAGTCTGATCTGCACAAGCAGGCGTGTGCTGGAATCCCAGCTGAATTTGACCTCCTTTCTCACTGTACACACGCGCATACTCCAAAAACAAACTTAGAAATGTACACACTCAGCAATCTTCCCTTTTAAGACACGTGTGCGGTTGTACTGACCAGGGGCAAATTCACTACAGTCACACCATTTCAGCACACACTATTTAAGCAAAAAATGTTGCTGGTTAGACTGTTTATCTGTAGTGAACAGTGTGAACAATGTTCAAACCATTTTTTTTAGCAGAAATATGTTAATAAGTGTGACAGAACCTAATTTCTGTGCTACCAGCATCACAAAACAGAATTGCAAAAATAATGCTTTTCTTGAAAAGTCTCCCTTCTTCCATTGGCTGGGGCAAACGGATAGCCCCGCCCCAAACTCTCACGCCATTGGTTGAGGCAGCGTTGATATATGTCTCAAACTGAGTTTTGACCTACCTACCAACCTACAAAATACTTACTTATACACTGTAAAATATATACATACGTATATATTGCCTATAGATATATATACACACACACACACACACACACACACACACATACACTTATTTACTTATTTATTTATTTTTAAGTTGCATTAGAGTACACTTGAAATAAAAATACTACTTAATGTCATGTTAAATTCAATGTGTTACTTGATGCTTCTTTGTAATTAGTCAAATTTACCATTTCTGAGTGAAAATAGTTTCAAAGTAAATCCTACACCATTTTTCAGCGTGGTTGTTTCTGCATATTCAGTAACCGAAAAAATAAATACATTTCAATTATTGTATTACAAGTACTCTTTTTCGGTGTAAATTCAGTGATTCTTTTCTATGCAAATTAGGCATATTGTATTATTGTACATGTTCCGAAAACTCTGCTGTTTTTCTGTTGTAGTTAGCATTGTGCTACATAAAACAAACAACTGAAATGGCCCTTCACATATAACCACAAGAAATACATATCCTATTATTTTGTATGCTAACAAAACCACCTCATGCCATGTCTACTATTATAGTAAGCTAGGTGCAACTTGGGTTTGGTGCTCTCATTTGCAGCACACACAAAGTTCTCATGCACACACAAAGCATGCTGGGACTGGCCCTGGTGTGCTTTGGTCTGTGTGGATCAGTGTAGGAGGGTCTGCGGTTTGTTGTGGTCAGCGTGCATTAACCAGAGCACGCGTTGCAATCGACTGGAGGGCTTGCGAGTGAAACTGGTGCTCAGTATGTCAGCCATGTGGGCTGAATAGAGGCTTTGTCACAGAGGATCTGTCCATGAGCCATTTAAGGCAGCGCTTGCATCCGTCTCTTATCAGCGGGGAGTGGAGCTTTGAGGAAGGAAGGCTGGCGTGTCGGGGGAGAGGATATGGGGTGGGGGGGCTGAACATCAGCTACTGCACACACATGTACATTACATTGAAGAGGTGGTGATCACCTGTTTCTGCAGACAGAGCTTCAATTTAGTAGTTATATTTAAGTGTTTGGTGGGTTGTAAGTTGAATACATAAGCTTTCCATCGATGTATGGTTTGTTAGAATAGGACAATATTTGGCTATATATATATATATATATATATATATATATATATATATATGAATTAAAAGTAAATATGTTCC